GTTTTACAGCGTGTGTTGCGAATTTTAAGTGCTAACCATTAGTCTCATTGTTTTGCGGTTGGAGACTTGGAATTATAAATTTAAAGTAGGTAACATTTCAATAATTTTGATGTAGGATGAGTAATATAAGTAGAGGGCATTATTGAAGCGACTGTTTTTTTTTTTAATTTCTTTTATGTTAATTTACCGTGGCGTAGTTTAGTTTATGATTCAGAAGTTAGGCATTCGGCACTCTATTACTATTACTACCTTAAAAAAGTTCTGTGATTATAAAAACTACTTACTCAGATAACACGGAGTTAACTTAAATTTGTGACACGAAAGGTTGATGGGAACTAGAACTAGGTACAGAGAACTTACTATCGTTTCGTTTCAACAATCAGATTTTTGTTATGAAATCAATGAAAAATATTAATTGTTACCGTAACATCATAAATAAACAAATATCTTTTAGCTATTGTGCTGGCACCTCAATGAATTATAGAGTAATAACTCTTATTTCTAATTGGCTAACACGAAAATGAATCAATCTGTGAAATTATTCAACGTTTCCGCCATCAATCGTGGCCACTGTGACAGTTGATATCATTATTCAGATGCTAACCATCGGCAGTGGATTCAATGCTTTACTCAAATATAAAACACAGCACGTCAACCTATACCATTTGTCTAATCATATAATTAAATTTAAGACTTTATTTCTACACGATAAAGTTCAAAATTTATTGCAAAATATAGACCGTTATTTGGTAGGTTGCTGCTGCCACCTGCTATATATCCATGCGGCTACAAGTCAAGCTATGTAAAACCAGTATAAGCTGACCGTTGAATGTATAGAAATACCACACAAAGTGAGACCATAAAAACTGGTTGTCTATAGCTCGATCTGTTGCAGTGTGTATAACGATAGAGTCAATATTTATGACAATATATATATAAATATTTATGTCATGAGGATCTTGAAGGTTTGACGTCGAGTTTTATTGAAGGTCAGTAGAGACCAGCAGGTCAATGTTTACATCTAGATGACCTGTATTTATATGTAAGTGCCTAGATACAGGTTAGGTAACTTCGCCTGTTCGCGTCCACCCAGCAATTCGCGTCCATTTTACAGATCGCCACGAACGAATACTTAAAATGTAAAAAGTACGTACTCATATTGTGATAGTTTTCTTACTTCTGGGACATTATTAAAGAGCGTTTTGTAACATGGAAGCGAACTGTGGTGTGTGGTGGGTGGATGTGAACAGGCGAACTTACCTTTATCATATTCATATTTAAGGCCTAAGTCTAAAACTCTAAAATCTAAGTATACATACATATATTACGAAGTGTTTGTTGTGCAGTGTAGCATGGAGTTTAGATTTATATTTATGTTACATGACATAGCATCACGCTTTTTATCCCCGGAGGGGTAGGCAGAGGTGCACATTACGGCACTTTATGCGATTGTACAAAATAACACCCACTTTTCATTATTTAATTATGTAATGAGTCCCATGCGATAGGGGGTGAGCCTAATACCATATACCAGGCACAATTCTAAACTAATTGCTACTACTATAAATTTTTAAAAACCCAGTAATACGTTGTCCGACTCGGGAATCAAACCTGCGACTCCTTGCCCAGCAGTCGCTTTATTTTATTGCTTTTAAATGTCTGATTATGTGGAACTTATTTCATAACTGGTATAAAGTTGGTGATACATTAATGTGCATCTGTTGATAATCTTTTCTTTCTTATGAACGTTTACAAGCTTTTTATTAATTAACAGTATATAATTATACATATTAGACGTGCAGTAAGATGCAATTTATCTGCTAGCTCACTAGTTGAAACATATTATATCTCAGGAGATCTGCTTGCTAATTTATTATCTAGGTTTCTACTAAAATAAAACCAAATTAATTTAATAATTAATAAATTTTATTTCTAGCTAAGTAAATAAATATTCTAATATGACTAGCAATCAGATGTTACTAACTTACCCTTATTTGGACTTGGATGTAATCAGCGGCCCTTCGGGGTACGTTTTTAGACTTTTTATTTTTTCAAATTACAGTGTCGTTTTACATTTAATTTTAGTGGCTTAAATGGTAAGTTCATTCTGAACGATAACTCCTTATATGACTATCACATTGCGTCATCACTGTTTGTGTTTCGCCTCATTTACAAATGAGTGCTGTCTCTTGGTTTCTTCAAAATCCCATTTTTTTTTCTTTATTAAACCGTATCGTATCTGAACTGTACTGTATTATATGGCATACTACTTAAAGTTTAAACAAAGAAAAGAACAAAAACTTACTCAATTAGTGCAGTCGTAAGTGAGGGGTCTCCATGCTTCGGCATGAATGGGCCGGCTCGACTGGAGTGATACCACGGCCTCACAGAAGACCGACGTGAAACAACGTTGTGTTGTGTTTTGTCGTGTGAGTGAGGTTACAGAATGTCCAATTAATCCCCCCCCCCCCTTTCCCCAATCCCTGAATCCCCAACAATATTCAAATTCCTAATCCCAAAAGGCCGGTAACGCACTTGTAACGCCTCTGGTGTCCCAGGTGTGGGCGACGCCGATTACTTACCATCAGGTGATCCGTCTGCTCGTTTAGGCTTATCATATAAAAATTTTATAATGATCTTATGAACGCGTTTTTAAAGATGATACTTGGCTGAAAATTGTTGGTTATTTAAAAGGGTATGATACTGAATGTGTGTACTTCATGTTTCTCAAGGAAGCTGAGTATTAACTTTATGATCGTCTAGGGCTGCGTCTAATCGTTATATGACGCGTTCAAATCACTTAGACTTCCTTTTATCTTCATATCAACCTGTTTTTAATCATTTTTCCCATGAAGACACACATGACACATTATTACAACATCGGAGGAATTTTATGATGGGATTATTTCTTTTTTTTTACAAATTAGAGCATGAATGAAGATAATTATAAGTAGTCGTATTTAATTTATTACTGTACCTTGTATATCGTGTATAGCCGACAACTATGGAATGCTATGAAATTTGTAAATCTCAAACCTATTGAAGTTAAACTTCATTTCAAATTGTGTTCTTATGTAGACACTTACTTATTTACTGAGATAAAAAGCAAGTTATATATTATACAACCGTATATAAATAGCTAATTATTAGCCTATAAATCTATTCAGCTTCTGTTTATATGCCTCTATAAATGTTTGAAAATGAAACTTCGACATGTACGTGTATAAACTTCCGAACGACTTTTTTTATGGGATAAGCTGGTTAACGAGGAGACGGATCACCTGATAAACAATCGATGCCGCCCATGGACACCTGAAACACCAGAAGAGAAGCGTTACACGTGTATTGCCGGCCTTTTGGGAATTAGGAATTTGAGGATTGTTAGACATTCGGGGATTGAGCACATTGGGGAGGGGGTAATTGGGCGTCCGGTAAAGTCACTCACACGACGAAACAAAACGCAGGCGTTGTTTCACGTTGGTTTTTCTGTGAAGCCGTGGTATCACTCCGGACAAGCCGGCCCATTCGTGCCGAAGCATGGCTCTCCCACACCTATTTGAGTATTATCTCATGAATTATTTTATATTATAGGTACATAGAATATGGAGATTAGTGAGTAACTTTTTAACAATAATTATAATAGTTAATCTATTTATCCGTAGCTAGGTATATTATTCGATATCGATTCGTTTTCATTGGACTGTTTCACTACAAATGTTTAAGGACAAACTCTGTAAAAAAAACATAAGTAGGTATTTGTCGGTACCTAAGCAGCTTTCGTGTTATGGTTATTTATTTAGTATGTACTTATACATATAACTTAGTATTAAGAACAATAATTTTCTTGTTAAAACCTCGTTTCTACAGTATATTATTGTCCATTAAAGAAGTGTAAACTTTTGCATTAACGTAAGTAACTCGACTTAATTTTAATTATTGCTTTTAAATTAAGGTTTTGTCGACTTGTGTATAGATCATACGTGGGAATTTTTAAAAAAGAATGTTGCATAATTGAGTTTTTTATTTCAAGCATTTTTTTAGAGTATGTTTGTTTTCTGAAACCATCATTTAAGTACTCGTTTGAGTTGTCATGTCTTACATACATAATAAAATACGCAATAATTTGTAGTTCTGTTGGCACTAAAAAAAAGAGGTGCTCTTCTATCTGGGAATTTAATAAATGGTATATGAAGTATCAATAACAAACTAGCATGATATCACGGATCATAAATTAAATAAATTATATCTTTCGCATGGACTGCGATGAATCGAGAGATAGTTCTTAAATATCCATAAATAATTTCACGCTGCTAAAAAGCAATCAGCGGTAATATTTTTGTTTGTTTGTATTTATTATTCTCTCTATCACTATAAAATGTAAACTCTACGATACAATCACAGCTTGTGTCCTTTCATGTAGTCTTCGAACATTTTTGTTCACAATATTCACACTAGTGTAATTTTTATTAACCACTTCTCGTAATGTGCCTGAGAATCTGTTCACTATTTTCTAAGCTTATATTAAATGCTACAATGTGTGCGTCTATCATATATTTTATGGACAAGTTGGCTCAACAAGTGTTACCAAGGATTACATTCTGAAGTTGTGAGGGAGTCATTCGAATTTAATTGAAATTATAAGGTTTATCGACTTAATTTAGTGGAAAATTAGAATTCTAAATTGAAGTGGTGAAACAAAAAGTATTAAGTTGGACGAGGTAATAAAAGTTGAGATATCCTTTGTATCGACGAGTGATGAGACTGTAATTATTAAAACTAAACAAGCATGAAAGTGGAGCCGTGCACAGAGGATGTTAATGAGAGATCGTAAATACATCAATCAATGCGTAAATTCATAAAGCCTTTTGGTCGGTCGAACGCACCCTTGCAGCCTCTGGGATGTTTCCTAGACGTTGAACGGCGAAAGTGCAACAGCCGGGCGTCGCGCGCAGCGTATAAACGCTTGCGATGCACGCCGCGCGCCACTCGAGTACCGAGCCCGTAGCTGCGCGCGCGCCGCACGCACACCACCACACGCGCAGACGCACGCATGCACGCACGCACGCGACACTAGTGTGATGCAGTGATTCTTAACATTTGTGATAGATTCTATTGCTCTCTACGAGTGATAACGCTGCTTGCATATTTTGGTAAGTATTTAAATTTTTTTTTATTATTAAGGCATATGTGAAAAAATAGGATAAAATTAATAGACAATATAATAGACCTCAATAACTTAAGTAGGAGTGAAGTCAACACAGGATCAACATACCAAAAAATAAAAATGATTAAATAGTTGCGACAGCATAAAATATAGGTACATTAAAAACAAGCTAATCATACATGAAATCAACAAGATTCAATCAAAATAAAATAGATAAAAATTTTAAACTAATAAATCTATTTATAAGAGCAATTTCAAGTCAACATAAGAAACATTTTATGTAATTCTAAATACAACAAGATTGCACGGCGTTCGTCAGTTGCTGCTGTAAAATATATCTCAATTATGCTAAACGCTCGCTGCTGCTACTTAAAGTTGTTGTAATAGAGAACATAATTACGATCCCATGCAATATAATTCACATTAATTTTACATGAGAAACTAAAAACTCTGACTGTACCTACTCAATGACCAAATAAAAATAAACAAGTGATAAAATAGATATAAACTTGTTCTAGCTAGAATTCTTGTTAATTAATTAAACATTTTTTGCAACAAATAGGGCTTCGTATTAAATTAAATTATTTTCAATCATGCACTTGCATGTTCACATACATAGATCATGATCAGAGAATGAGATCAATTAATGCTGCTTCTGCTCAGTAACAAATAATAAAATCGAATCAATTATTCTACATTCGTAGACGTTACCGTTTTGACGATAATCGATTAAGAAATCGTTTTACGCGCGTTTCCGTGAAAGTGTCCGCCGTTTGTGGGTGCGAACTGCGAACGTAGAAAGTGATGATTTCATGAACTATATTGTGCTGATTATTTGCGTTATCACGCGAACGTAATTCGATTTGGTCAATTGTGTCGTAAACTTAACGAGTGCATCGTAGCGCCGCGACGTTAATCGAGTCGAATAGACTGATATGTAAATGTAAGTAGCTGAGGAGATAAATGAGTCCGCGACAGTGAGCAGGCGGCCGGCGCCGATAATGTTGTACAATTAATCAATAAGACGTGTATATTAAACTCATGCGTTATAACCATGTAATGTATTGATCAGCGTGCATATTAAAACTTCATAATGACGTCCTTGCGACTTGTTTGCCGCGAACACGAGAATAGAGGAATCCCGGGGAGCTTTTTACGGCGCACTTAGCGTCATGGTGTAACGACTAAAGTAACATAAAAATAGACAAACCATAGTTGGAAAATCGATACTGGCGTCAGACCAGAATTAGCTACAGAATGTCGCAGAGTCGATGGAACTGCGGATATATGGAATAGATGGTAATCAGGTAGCCTTAGTGTCATCCAACACGCTTCTGTTGTTTTATTGCAAAGCTATTGAATTTTTTCTTTGAGTTCGAGCATAAACAAGTAGGACCACACTTGAAACACAAGCTATATACCATATTTCTAAAGTATTTTTTTGTTATAAGTGCAGAACTGTTCATAGACTCACCTGACATTTTTCTACAAAAAAATATAAGATAAGTGCTCCACATCCTGGCAGGATGGCCCGTCGCGTCACTTAGATATTTAATACAACGTTGTGCGGGTATTTTTCTCGCTCTTATGACATGCTCGAGATGAGACATGTTCACACGACAGCAAGTATTTAGCTAGAAACTCGATGTGACACAATTACTCAGAAAATTATGGTACTTAGAAAAAATAAGTCAACTATATATTTTATCAGCTAACACATTTCCTTCGCGGTCTTTAATTATCTGCAGTTGCGATGTCTCGTTCTATTCTGGATCATTTCGACACGCAACGGTACTAATATCGGGCTGGTACAAATACGGCCCGAGACACCGGGACACCGGCGTCACGAACCCGCCTAATGGATGCTGAGTGGCCTTAAACAGCTGCTATTAAATTTAGTCCCACTCGCATACCCCGGGAATTTAAACGCGCAAATTATTCTGAACATGTATGAATGCTGGATAGTAAATTGTTGCGTACGATTATCCTTTGAGTGCTCAAGGTTCTTCTTGGAATGGCCAGGATACAGCCTCCCCGCTGTCCGAACAATGATAGTTCAAAGGTCATATAAAGTTGGCGCACGTCGTTCTGATGCACATGTGGAAATGTGGAAATGTGGAAACTATAAAGCAAGTGAATTGTACGAACATTACAATTTTATTTGTTTGACTACGTTGTATTTCGTGTTATATTATCCATTTATGTTTTAGTAAGTATTTTTAAATCAATTTATTATCTGTTATTTACACTTATTTCACATTTTCTCTTTTGGGGTTTTCTTGAGAGCATGTCGGATTTCCTACGTATCGACGGAATGTACTGTTCAGCCTGAACAATTATTACACGCGTTAGTTACATAGGTAGCACGTTATTCTAGAAAATAATATCAACTATGTGCATATCACGGAAAATAAGGTAATATGTTTGGTAATATACCTAGACCGAAATTTTAGTACGTACATACACGTAATTATATGTTCTGTTAAAATAAATAGTGAAATCAAATCCATCAAATAGTTGGACGTTGTACATTACTGTAAAATTAAACCACTGGAACGTAAAATGCAGCTGATTTAACAAACGTTTTTCTTTTCATTTTATCTGCATTATTATTTTCAAGGCGAAACTGCAAGTGGTGCGGTGACGTTCACAAAAAGTGGACACCGATGACTTGAACAATTTTGTTCGAAATTAAGAACCGCTGTTATAATAAATTTTGTCTTTATCTCCTAGACGTGATGAAATTAGGGACCTGTGTAAAAATAAAATAAGGTGTGAAAGTTGATCGCACTGAAGACGTGACTTCCGCTTTGTCGGCTTTGAATTTGCACCAGAAAGCGTGAACATATGTGCAGCGGTAAAAAATGCATGACCGATGCAATTTGACAGGACAATCATCGATCTTCTTAAGTTATTTGCAATGAAAAAAATCAATATCTATACGTGGTGCGTTACGTAACCGTAACAGAAATAATTATTCGTCCGTTAGTTAGTTAGAGAGAGTTTTTTTTTTATAATAAATAAACCGTAATTAGACGAGACGTGAGATAAAAACGTAAACGTTTTTATTGATTCATTTGGCGGTTGAATCAATATCTCTAGAATTTGAAATAATTGTTGTTTCCGGCGAAAATGAAAAGTATGGAAAGTAAATTGTACATGGCTGAGTCGGAAACACAGTCGGCTGACTTATGTCACTAACTCGCTCAGAATGACAGATTCGTTACGATACAGTTCACACCACACGTTCCCACGAAAGTAGGTGCGTACTTAACAAAAAAGCACTCGTCTGTATTCAGTCTGCGATGTCCGTAATCATGATTTGCCGAAATTGGTTTACGAGTTCATTCGATCACGCGAACAGTATTGTGCTCGATTCAAATTCTATGGAACGCCCGGCACCTCTATTATGAAGGAGAAGAGTCGAGTTTCTTTGACTCGTAAGGTTTAGTGTTACTTTAGGGCCGAACACTTTCGCTGCATCAGTCATGATCATGATTTTATAATGATAGACAAATTGTCGTGTAACTTGTGACCGTTGACCCACGACTGGAATTAAGTCATTATATATGCATAACTTACGACTTTTATAATGTCTAAATTGTTTTCATTGAATACTTTTTCTTGACTTTCATTTTGTGTAAACGTTTTGTCGTGTTTTTAGCAGCTCTTTGATACTCAGATATAAAAATGTGAAACAAGTATTTTGTCATTGAATTTGGTGTACCTATGCAAGAACTAGTAATGCTGAAAATCTTACCTCTCTTATTCTTATTCCAAGTCGTTTGGTGTTTAGATGCCTGTGGACTAGGCGGCGTAGCATTGGAATGAAACAGCAATACTTACTGAATTTAAATACAATTACCTAATTAACCAACAAAGGCTCCATTTGATTGGCCATTGTTTTTCGTCCAATTATAAAATGTATGTAAAAGGCTTCGCCAGTGAAAGCATCATTAACATTGCGAATCAGAACTTTGTTTAATTATCTCATTAGAGTGCGTTGACATTACACGCCGAGAATACGAGTGTCCATAGACAAGAGACTACTTATCTAATACAAATGCGCTTATTGCACCACAGCGATCCTTTATTGCGTAACTTTATTTGTATTGAGACAGACCGTATCGATTTTATTTGTATGTGAAAATCTTTATTTAAATTACAATAAAATTGTGTATGAAAGAAATACCATTATTCACTTTATTTTATATAAGTTTAGTTTGTTAACGCAGAACGATTTATTTTTACTGAGGAAGCACCCTGATTAGTAGTGCATTGATGCCCCTTACGTCGCATTTAGTCGGCCTATTAGAATGCATCTGTTTCCTCAATTAATTTTCTCCCTAGCTTCTGTAATTAAATCAAATGAATTCTTTGGTTATTGAAATTAAAAGAAACTAAAAAAGTTTTATTACTACCGGATATAAGAGCTATTTTAGAACAAATTCTCCTATAGTGAAACTACGTATGTTTCTTATAGTAAAGTCAACTTCAAATTCGCAAAAAAATCGACAGTGTTTACCAGCTCTCTCCTTGGCGTCACAATCGTCACTATTTGAATAGACCACGCACATGTGATCCTCTATACATTCGTGTACCACTTGTGTTTGTACAGACTACGTTAGTAGGTCGTTCTTAATTGATTTTTTGTGTTCGTAAGGTACTAGTCACTTTTTGTCATTTTTGTTTTGTTTTCGAGTTAAAATTGTGAGGTGATAGTAAAGTTAAGAGAGTCTTCGATGTTTCTGAAGGTAAAAATTATATAAAATAGTTGGTTGATAAGACGTCTCATATGTGTAACGTAGCCGAGGTAATGTGTGGCAAAACTCAAGGGCCGTTACTCTTGTGATCAATTATTTATTATCTATTTGTAACTCTAAAATCATGATCTTGTTTTGTTAATACAATAATAAGTAATTATTAAGGAGCCTTATGGAATCGGACGTCGATAGGAATTCATTAGATAGTAATTGTGTGGAACAC